CCGCTGCTGGTTGTTTGGGGGGGGGGGGGGCGTGCCGACGGCTGGCGCCTCCCTTTCGTGTGGCGCGCCGGCTAGCACACTCTCCGAAGTGTTCGTGAATGCAGCAACATCCATACAGCCGAGACTGCAGCCATGTCCAGTGGTCAAACTCCTCTGCACACTCATCCTCTCCGCAAACCCGTCAGGCCATCGAGAAGCTGGACAAGGTCTGCGCTTCCCCGGGTGCCACGGAAGCCGCCCGGAAGCTGCTGCGCGGCAGCCTCCTCGACGCCCTCCGCCACGACGCGTTCCCTGTCGCTGCGGCCGCCGCCGCCGCCCGCGGCCTGGCCGACGTGCCAGGCGCCGACCTCGTGCCGGGGCTGCAGGCGCTGCTCGCGCGCGCCGCCGACGCCGCCGCCGCCGGCCACGGCGAGCAGCCGGGGAGCGCCAAGGCGGCGCTGGCAGCCGCGCGCGGCGCCCTGGCCGCGGTTGCTGAGCTGCGGGCGCGCGAGACCGCGCTCGCGCACGCCTGCGCGGCGGCGGCGCTGGAGTTTGCACTGTCGGACAAGCGGCGCCGCAAGCTTGCCGCCGCGGCGGCGGCGGCGTGCGGCCCGATGCTGTTCGGCGGCCTAGACCTGAGCGCTGACGACGAGGGCGGCGCCGCCGGCGGCAAAGCGGCAAAGGGGAAGGGCAAGGGCGGCGCCGTCGCGGAGGAGGGCGCGGCGGCGGAGGGTAAGCGCGCGGCGGCAGCGTCGGCGAACAGGGCACTTGTCGACGCCTTGGCGCATGGCCTGCTGGCGGGCGGGGCGGGCGCATGGGACGAGCTGGGGGCGCTGCTGGAGGCCGGCGGGCCGCGCTGCCGCCACCTCCTGCTGCTCGCGCTGCTGCGCGCCGCCGCGCTGCTCTCGTCGGGTGGCGCGCCGGCGGCGAAGCGTGGCGGGAAAAGCGGCGGCGCGGCAGCTGGCGGCGGCGCGGCGTTTGAGGGCGTCGCGCGCTGCCTGGTTGGGCTGCTGGCTGGCGGCGCGCACGCGCGGGAGCGCGAGCAGCAGCACCAGCAGCTGTTACTGCCGTCTGATTGGGAGGCCGCGTCATCAGAGCTTTTTGATGACGACGGCCTCCCCACGCAGCAGCACGCGTCCGCCGTCCTGTCCCCCGCCGCCCTCTCGCGCGCGCACGGCGCGGCGCTGCTGCGGGCGCTGCACCTCACCCTCGACGCCGCGCCGCCCGCGGCGCTCGCGGCGGCGGTCGGGCGGCCCGAGGCCGTCTTCGCGCTGCTGGCGCGCCACGCGGTTGCGCCGCAGCCGCAGGGGCAAGCCTCCGCCGCCCAGGCGGCGGCTGCGGCAGGAGCGGCGGATGCAGCTGCAGACTTGGCAGAGGGCGGGCCCGCTTTTGCGGCGCTCGCGCCGCACCTGCGGCTCGTAGTGGCCAAGTGTGCGGCCAGCAGGGAGCTCGAATTTTTGGAGGGCTTCTACTCGCTCCCCCGAGAGGCGTCCCGCTGGCAGGCCCAGGCAGCTGCCCTGCAGCTTCTCGCCGCCGACGTCGAGTCTGGCGGCGCCTGGCTGCCTGCCGGCGCGCGCCGCGCGGGCGGCGCGCGGTGGCTCGCGCGCGCGATGGGCGCGGCGTGCAGCCCCTCGCCGCAGGCGCGCGCGGGCGCCGCACGGC